GGAAGAAACACCGCACCCCACATGTGCAAAGCTGTGGAGAAATCGGCCTCCACGTGCATCGACCTTGGGCACACGCAAGACAAACTTTCTCGGAGCTTCTTTCCCATCTCCCTTACCCCGTGACACTGTGACTGCAATGAAGTCTACTGAAAGGCAGCATTTATGCTAGAACCCCCTTCTTGAGAAGGACCCCGTAACAGGATCTGAGGTTGAACATCGGACTGCCATTTTTTGGGCACGCACACTGAGGTGCAACAGGCAAAGACTAGGATTTAGGGTTTAGGGTTTAGGGTTTAGGGTTTAGGGTTTAGGGTTTAGGGTCCCGAGTTTGGGGTCTCTCTTCTTGCCCTTCAACACCGGATACTCCTTAAGCCCTGAAGGTTGAGGAAGCCTCGGGTTTTCCGGGGATGGGGTATGTAAACCGCCTTGCCACCAAACACCTTCGCATCCTCAACCCGAGAAGTTTTCGAGCACCCCAAGCCGGACACCTTCAAATCCCAAAACCTCGACAGCCTAACCCCCCAAAAATTCCCTCCCCCCCCCCCCCGCCCCAAACAAAAAAAGATAAATAAACAACAAATCATGTCTCTCGTCGCCCACACCCTAAACCCTAAATAAACCCTAAACCCTAAATAAACCCTAAACGCTAAATAAACCCTAAACCCTAAAACTCCCCCTGGCGCCAAGCGCCTGACCTTCAGCCGGCAGGTCGTGAAGCCCAGGGCGGCGAAAGGAGATCGTCCCGCCATGGCTCTGAGTTTGGCTAGGTATTGGGGGGGGGGGGGGGGGGCTACATCGGGCGACTTGAAGGTTTGTTGCTTGTTTTGGCTTGATTTGTGTTTACATACATGTAAATGTATGTACATACTTAATTGCTCTTTCTCCTTTGGGGTGTTGGGGGCGGGGGGGGGGGTGCTCTGAAACAAAAACTTCAGAAGTAGAATGATGTGAACTCTGCTAGAACCTGGCGGACGGGGTGGAGCTGTGCTAGGACTGCTGCTGACTGGTCAACGACATGGCGGGCCAAGGGGGCTCCAAACCATGAAAGAAAGGGCCACCGGTGCCATGAGACCCGCAGCCACTACTGCTGCAAAAAACCCCAAACCCTAAACCCTAAACCCTAAACCCTAAACCCTAAACCCTAAGTTGCCGGCATCCTCCCAGGGTTCGGGGATCTGACAGGCCCTCCTTTTCATCAAAGCCACGGTGACGTGTCGAATTCAGAAGGAAGGGTGGGATGGCAAGTGCCCATTACCTTACGGTTTCGGGTTTAGGGCTCATATTGTGGGGTCATGCGTGCCTTGACCCTCTCTTCCTCCTGCTTCTTGCAGACGCTGATATGTGTTGACATACAGCACGGAAACCCGTGGATGCTGGACAGTGAAAGCAACTGACCGCATTGCACACTTCTACCCTATGCGGAGGATCATGGGAAGACAGCAGCTATCGTTTTAACCTATGTAAACCATGTAGCTGTATTTTGCAACCCGTGGAGCTGCCTGTGCATTCCTTAACCACTTGCCATAAGCCTCCAAGAATTCTACTCAAACAATCAGATGACAGCGACTTTCTTGACTGCTCTTCGTGCTTCTGAAAGCAGCAGACCAGACAAGAGTGGGGGGTCTATAGGGTCTGAGTTGTGGGTCTGGCGTATCTTCCGCCTTCGACGCGTCGAAGTCACAAGCATCTGATGGCCCGCTCTGCCGCTTGGGTCATGTACGGGTATGGCCTCACGAATGGCCAGACACTAAACCCTAAACCCTAAACCCTAAACCCTAAACCAATTACCAATTAAACCCTAAACCCTAAACCTTAAACCCTAGACCCTCAACCCTGAACCCTGAACCCCTAACGTGCGGCACCCCTAAAATCCAGGATCAACCAGGGTTCCGACCGGAAGCAGCCCTTAAGGTTCCCGGTTGTCTTCTGCAAGGTTGGCCAGGGGTCCTTCAGGGGTGAAGAAGGGTTTAGGGTTTTTGGGGTTTAGGGGTTTGGGGTTTAGGGTTTAGGGATTTGGGGTTAGGTTTCGGGGTTTGGGGTTTAGGGTTTAGGGGTTTGGGGTTTAGGGTTTAGGGTTTACGGGACAGGGTGAGGGGGAGGGGGAGACGGAGAAGTGGAGAGAAGGGGAAGGTTTGGGCACTAGTTGTGGGCCTAGGGGTGCAGACGTTTGGGGCAGAAGCGCACGACGACTTCTTCCCTAAAGCTGTACGACGCTGGGAACCACGACTAGAAGAACAGATCATATACGATCAGCTGCTTTCTCGGCAAACGATGGCACATGCCGCTGCTGCTGTAGAATACGACTAGCAAAACCAGGTACTTCTGAGGGCGGCGCGCCAACCAACACACAAAGATGTAAGGTTCAAGAACACCTTGGGCAGAACATGTACAGAAGCGCCAGCAGCTGGCGGGAAACATACCTGATATTCAGGCTTGTCCAACAACTAACCAACAACGACAGCTGAGTCCGCCGGTTCTTTCAAAGCATCGGGATTTACAGCTTCATCTGTGTTGCCTTCCGCGTTTAGGTAGAGGACTGTAACCCTAAACCCTTTAACCCTAAACCCTATACCCCAAACCCTAAACAACCCTAAACCCTAACCCCAACAACCCAAAACCCAAGAATGAAGAGTTGTGGATGGAAAGCCATCTGGGTCCAAGCTGTGTGGCGCGTCCCAAGAAGCATGCCCTAAACCGAATGAATGACTTTTAGACATGACCCCAAGCCTGTCCGGTCCTTCAGAGTCTGCCAACAAAACTCTTGACCGGTGTTGACGAGAACCTGCGGCAGCTCACGCGACATCACTGTGCTAGGCATAGATACACGTGTGCCTGTGCTCATGCACGCGCGTACATTGCTGGATTCTTGACAGGCTTGCGAGCTCCCATCTCGTGATGACTGCCTCGTTTCCTCAACCCTAACCTTCAAGTCCCAGTGCGGAACACCACACCCCACTCCACTTAAACCCTAACCCTCAAACCCTTAACCCTTAACCCTTAAACCATAAACTCCCCCACCCCCTTCCCCGTAAACCAAAACGAAACCAGAATCCCCCCCTGCCGCGGGCCGATTCTGGCTTGGGCACTGTGGGCCCATCCTTTGCCAGGCGCGGCAAGTGAGGCCTTGGAACTGCTTCGGTTTAGGGTTTAGGGTTTAGTGTTTAGGGTTTGGGATTCAGGGTTTAGCGTTTACGGTTTAGGGTTTGGGGTTTAGGGTTTAGGGTTTAGGGTTTGGGGTTTGGGGTTTGGGGTTTGGGGTTTGGGGTTTGGGGTTTGGGGTTTGGGGTCTCGGGTTTAGGTTTAGGGTTTTAACCCTAAACCCTAAACAAAGGTGTTTAGCCCTCGGGTTTGGTCTAGAGCTCGGAAATTCTGAGGTGAGGGAGTGGATTGAGGATTTGGGAGCCCTAAACCCTAAACCCTAAACCCTAAACCCTAAACCCTAAACCCTAAACCCTAAACCCTAAACCCTAAACCCTAAACCCTGAACCCTGAACCCTGAACCCTGAACCCTACAAACCTTATATACAAATGAGCACGGGAGCCAAACCCCCGAAAGCCCATCAACCCTAACCGCACCCCTAGACTCCCTAGACTCCCTGAACCCTCAACGCCCTAAACCCTAGCCCTAAACCGTAAACCCTAAACCCTAACCCCTAAACCCTAAGCCCTAAACCCTAAACCCTGAACCCTAAACCCTAAACCCTAAGCCCTGCTAGACTCCTAGACCCTACCAGCTCTCCAGTCTCCTGAGCGCGGATCTTTGCATTCGCCATCTGCTCGGGAGAGAAGAAGGGGTAGTCGCTGCCTGGGGCATCTTCGGAAGCAAAATCTCCGGCAAGGTGAGGGCTTTGGGGTTGTTGGGGTTTGGGGGGTTTTGTTGGGGTTTTTTGGGGGGTTTTGGGGGTTTTTGGGGTTCTGATGTCTTGGGGTTTTGGGGTTTTTGGGTTTTTGGTGTCTTGGGGTTCTGGGGTCTTGGGGTTTTGGGGTTTTGGGGTTTGGGGTTGGGGTTTTTGGGGTTTTGGGGTTTTTATGGGTTTTGGTGAGTTTTCGTGGGTTTTTTGTAGGCTTTTGGTAGGGTTTTGGGGTTTCAGGGTGCCCAGGTAAACCATCGAGCCCTACAAGCCCCAGCCATCTAAGCCACGTTTGGGGGTATGGTAAGGGTACGCCGTTGGTTAGAAATGCCGATAATACAGTGTTACGAAATCGCATCTAGTGCTGCTTCTTCGGTTCATGTAAACTCCTAAAAAAGGTTTCGGGGTTTATGGCTTAGACCTTAATCCTAATAGTCTCAAGCCCTAAACCTTTTGGAGGCCCAAAAACCCAACCCCTCCCCAAATCCCGAACCTCCCAAAACCCAATGCTTGGCCCAAGCAGCCATAGGTCGTGGTGGCGGTCCGCATGGTGTTCTTCCGCACGGGGCGAGGTGGAGCCTGAGGGGTTGCACGGATTTGCCTTCTCAAAGTTTTCGGGTTTTGGTTTTTCGATGCATGCCCCTAGACCCCCTATTTGGTTTTTGTTGAGATGCTAGGGTTCAGGGCTTGAAAGGCTTAGGGTTGAGGGGTTTCCATGTTAAGGACTCACACAAGCCAAAGCACCAAAGAGAGAGCCGGGAGACGAGAGACGAGAGACGCGAGACGAGAGAGGAGAGAGGAAGCCTCAACACCGAAGCCCTAATCCCTCAGAGGCTTGAGCTTGAGCTCGAAATGCAGAGCGCCTCACAGACAACCTCCCCCTGCCGCCAACAACGGTCTGTTTTGCCTGTGCAAGCTTGCATGGGAAACCGTGGTTTCGGGTTTCTCCTCTCATGCCCCGAACCCCTGTCACGTTTCTACGCTGGGAGGGGCTACGTGGCACAAGGTGCCAGCAGACCATTCGTCAACTGGCACAAAAAGCCACTCTGTCTGGTGACCTCGTAGTGCACAAGCGTTCTGGCGCATGTTCGCATCCTCCTTGCAATTTGCAGACCCATCAGTCTGCTCTGTACATGCTAGCTGCCGAGCTCACAGCAGCAGGGTCAAATTGGAGGTGTTGGTCGCGTTTGCTTCCTCCGCCGCTGCCTCCGTAGTTGATGTCGTTGTGGTGCTCTCCTGCGAGGTCGTGGTTGAATTGCCCTCCGCGACAGTCGTAGTCACCGTCGTCGTGGCGTTGTTGTCTGCGACTGGCGTCGTAGTGGCATTTCCCTCTGCAGCAGACTCGTTCGTCTCTTCAAGGGTCGTGGTAGTGGTGTTGCTGTCGGCCACAACGTCGTCCGTGCTGTCCGAACAACCCTGCAACACAAGGGCTACCACGGCCATCAGGGCTGCAAAGAAGGCCACTCGGAAGGACATCATCACGAAGATGTGAGGGAATCCTCGGGGAGGCTTGCAAAGACTGGGCAACTGTGCAGCAAGACGCGTCCTGTCACTGAGCCCAGAAATTGCAGGGATGGCAGTATCGTTTCTTGAGCAAGGGCTGCACTCCTCGAGATCAAGCAGTGTACCCTATAGTAGTTCCTGCGTCAACCCAGCAGCGCTGCACATGCTGCCAGTTACCCCCCAACACCGTCCCCCCTAACCCCATCTCCAGCCTTCGCCTTGCCAGCTGCTCGCAGGGAGTCGCTGGTAATCTGGCAAGGCATGATGCACGTCGCTTGCCAACATCTCGGTGTTAAGTTTAGGAGGCGAGGGTTCGGGATGGTTTTGGGGGTTGCCAAGGCTTCAACGTGCTCTCTTAGGCTGAGGGTGTAGGAGTGCTGAGGGCTGGGGGTTTCGGGTTGGGGCCGAGCTCAAGGCAAGACAGGCCGGCCTTGTGCGCAATGTTCCGCTTGGCGTAGCCGCGCAGGTCCTGGAGCACGGTTGAAAGGGTTGAGGGTGGGTTTATACGGTCGCAGGGGTTCAGGAGGTAGGTTTAGGGTTCATATGCTCTCCAAGGGCGCAGCTCGTGTGGCAGACTTTGCTTTTGGTGAGTGCATGGGCCTTGTCTATGGGTTATTTGGGTAAGCCCTCGCCCTTCCCGACCTGCCGAAGCCTGAACCCGCAAAATACCAACAAGAGCCCCTACCCTCTCAACCCCCTAAACCCTAAACTCCCTAGATCCCCTCAGCTCCCTCAACCCCCTCAACCCCCAAACCCCCCAACCTAAACTGCAAACCCTAAACCCCTAAACCCTAAACCCTAAACCCTAAACCCTAAACCCTAAACCCTAAACCCTAAACCCTAAACCCTAAACCCTAAACGCTAAACCCTAAACCCTAAACCCTAAACCCTAAACCCTAAACCCTAAACCCTAAACCCTAAACCCTAAACCCTAAACCCTAAACCCATTCCCAGAGTCCTCCTTTTTCCGGAAGGGCTCCGGGGCCGAGGAGGCCCGCAGGAGTCGGCCACGCGCCTCGTCCTGGACAATGATGCTGTGGAGGGGCTCAGGGGTTTAGGGTTTAGGGTTTAGGGTTTAGGGTTTAGGGTTTAGGGTTTAGGGTTTGGGGTTTGGGGTTTGGGGTTTAGGGTTTAGGGCTTGGGGTTTAGGCTTTAGGGGTTAGGGTTCAGGGGTTAGGGTTTAGGGTGAGGGTTTATGTAGGGTTCGGTTTAGGGTTTAGGGTTTAGGGCTTTGGGGTACCGACAAGTAAGTAGGGTTATCAGAAGGGTAACCAGGGTTATGACCTGATCTAAGTGACTCAGAACCCTGCTTGTAGCTTGCAACTTATGAGTATGCATGAACCTTCAAGCAAGGGTTGAGGGGTTGAGGGGTTGAGGGGTTGAGGGGTTGAGGGGTTGAGGGGTTGAGGGGTTGAGGGGTTTGGGATTTGGGTTTGGGGTTTTGGAGCTTTAGGGGATTTAGGCATTTTGGGCTTGGGGGGTTGAGGAGTTCTCGGGGTTTAGGGGTTTCGGGGTTGGGGTGGGGGGGTTTCAAGATTTATGGGATTTATGGGCTTTAGGGGGGCTTAGGGTGTTTAGGGTGCTTGGGGCACAGGGGTGCGATCAGGCTTTGGGCTTCTTTGAACAACCTACACCCTTCGCTACTGCTGTCGCATGTTCCTCCGTAGAAGCCCATGCAAACTTTGCTCACACTCTGAACCTTACACCCATGCAGCAAGCACATTACACAAAGTTTCGGGCAGCTTTAGCAGGGTGGTCGGAGATAGGGTTTAGGGTTTGGGGTTCGGGTTTAGGGTTTAGCCGAGTAGTGGAGGGGTCGGGGTTGGCTCAGAGGGGTCTCACTTTTGAGTCCTCCAGGCGGAGCCACTTGGATGTAACGTCACGCCAGACACGGCACCTTTGCCGAACAGAGCTTGGGAGGTGGGAGTTGCGTGTACTAAGGGAATATGCTCCGCCCCTTTCACCACCCCCGAAAGTGCAAGGAGCACGTTTGTCATGGAGACCTCAAAAAACCCTAAATTTAGTTCAACCACCCCCTTCGCCGAGTTGATGATTCCGAGGCAGAAGCTCATCGTCCAGGATCAGCAGCGTGCCTGGTTTTAAGACAATGGTTCCATGCGATGCAGCATCATGCTATGCAAGAAATGGCAACTTCAACCCGCATGGGCGGGCAGCGTAGGCACCTTTTCCTAACAAGGTCCACTCAACATGCCAGGCTTGCGCCACTCCGGCTTTGCAACAGCTGACGGCATGGCGATCTGCTTGAAAGCGCGCAGTAAGGACGGGCTCGAGCTTTGGGAGTGGGACTGCAGGGTGGGGTGTAGGGATACCAGGCGTTTCGGGTCCTGCACTGTGGGCTCGGGATAATCCGAACCCCAAACCCGATTGATATGGCATGAACCGCCTCCTGGAACCCTGCGCTGGCATCCTAAACATGTCACAAGCCCATCGCACTTTCGTCTTCATCCTCCTTGAGCTGGAGCGAGCAAAGATGGTCGAAATCTTCGGGTGCAGCGAGGGCTGGAGACTTCGAAGGCAGCCGTTTCGTTTTAGGGCTTAGGGTTTTGAAGGTCCGAACTGCTCATCATCGATCGTTCCCTTGCGACCTCTGCAATCGTCTTATTGTTTCCTTACATGCACTACGGGCGAAGTCTCGGCCTGTACATGCAATGCTTGCCTTGGGAATGGTGGGGGGTATAGCAGCAATCCATTGGGCAGGGAATTCATGCCCACACGATGATGCTACCAGTGCATCCATTGGCCAGAGCATCCATTCGGCACGATGTTGCTGAGAGTGGACCCATTGGCCCGGGCACTCAAAACCGAACATAACCGAACAGCGATAACGTCCGCCCAAACTGCCCAAACACTTGCCAGCAATGGGACGCTACGCTTCGTCCCAGGCCCTGAGAAACGGAGGGCTCCGTCTGCCTCGGCGGGGGTTGTGACCGAATGAGGAGTGATTTGCGTCCAACTCCTCAACTTCCTCAGATCCTCCGCAAGACCCCAACACCTTGTGTTGTGCATAGGGTGTTTTCGGTGCTTCAGGCTTGAAACACCCTAAACCCCCAAAGCCCTCAATGCTAAGGGACTAAGGCATTTATGTTGTAGAGGCTGTTGACGTCCTGGGTTCCTCAGACTGCAAGAAGCCATTGGTCAGAACACCCCTCCCCCAATCCTGGATGACGTCTATAATACCCACGATTTGGGGTTTCCAATAGTACCCGTAGGGGGGTTCCTAGAAAAGAAGCATTATCGTATTTTGGCAGTATTTTTGGAGCACCCTTTGCTCGGAAATACCAATTTTCCTCACGAGCAATCCGAAGCTCAAGAGCCATTGGCTGAGGACCTCCACGTCTTGGCTGCATCCAGCAGGACTCGCATCAAAAACTTCGCCAGCTCCGGATTCTCATCCACGACTTGCTCCAGCAAGTCGCGCTGGTGCTCGAGGACCTCGCACGCGTTGGCCTTCACAATCTCCAGGCATCGGGCTTCCAGCGCGCCCCCACTTCCCAGAACTTTTCCCAAACACCGCAGCGCGTTGTCCTTGCAGACTACAGGTTGGAGCTCGAACTCAGCTTGCTGGACCAGGTCTGCCATGCAGAATTGGTCTGCAAGCCTGCGGACGGAAAATGCGAGCTCCTCATCACCACCAGCAGAGAAGTGCCCTGACATCAAATGGCAGAGAACCTCGGCTGAGGGGTGAGGACAAGGGTTCTCATGAGCCCATAAATACGAGTTTCAACTTTTAGGCATTTCAACTCTGCTCCTAAGGCATCCCCTAAGTCCAGAGCTTAGGAGCGGCGCCCATGTTCCGGCTGTCAGCTTGCTTGTTGCTCCGTAGGTCGATCGTATTCGTCTGACCTTCTCGCCACATTTCGCCAGAGAGCATGTTGGCAAAATGGCTTGACCGCGCTATCAGCAGCCGCTTGTCGAAATACAGAGTCGACCCATCATGGAGAAGGAAGGATATGAACTCTGGCTTAATGGCAAGCAGCTCCAGGGAACATTGTGCTGACAGCGGTTGAGGCGCAAGAGGCGCAGCCTCACTAACTTCGCCAATTATTCGCAGTTTGCGGTCCGCAGTGAGCCAGCCAGCCCAAAGAATTTGAGAATGTGAAATAAATTGGTGCTTTCCGCTGGAACAAATTTCCTTGTGGAAAAGTGTGCTGAACGTCATCACGTGCATCTTGTCAACCTGCGGACCCCTAATCCAGAGCCGGTGTGTGAATTGTCGTCTCCACTCGAAATTCTCGAGTGAGGCTGGTGGCTGGATATGAATGTATGCGCTCACCCATCCTTCATGACCGGCCTGGCCGTTAGGATACGCTTCTACCCGAAATCTCCAGCCGCTCTGCAAAGCCATCCAAGCGGACTCCACTTGCCGATCGTTCGGCCAATTCTGGGTGGGGTTGTCCACAACGATCTCGGCCGAGTGCCAGATCCTCCTGCATCTCGTTACGCACTGGCTTCCACGTTTATGATTCCACTGAGTACAACCCGTGCCCCACCATCTTTCCCAACCCAAGGGAGCAAACCTGCCTCTCGCCATCAGCGCTTTGCGGCTCTGGATCAGGTGCTGCCATGGCCCCGCCAACAGAACCCCCCCCCGCCCAAAAAAAAAAAAATTGCGGGGACTTTATAGGTACCTTCAGAAGTGCAAGGGGTGCTTGGGGGGGTAATTAAATCACTTCACCCATGGCTGTTCCATGCATGGCCACTTGTACAAGTTCGTCCTTGGCCGGTTTGGACCAGAACGGCTCTCGCCTCCATGTCGAAGAACCCGACACCAACAGAGAAGCCGGGATAAGAAAAACAAGAGCCTGAGAACAAATCGAGGAAACATTGTTAATTCTCGGTAAAGCTCTGGATGGCCGCTAAAGCGCCGAACCACCCCCCCCCCCCCAAAAAAAAAAAAAAAAAACAAAACACATAAGAAAGCATCCAAGCTGGAGAGGAGCCCATACAAAGAAGTTGGAGTCAGACTGCCCAAGCACAACGCGTTGCCAGCTCCTACGGTTCAGGGGGGGCTGCCCAAATCCTCGAACATCAATATACAGGAAGAAGGTTCTCCACATGCCTACAAACAACCCAAGCAGACACCACAGGCCACACATGACAAGCACGCCTAAAGCATGACGCCGGAGGCCGGGTGCTGGACGGCTGTAGCAGAACTAACACCCACACAATTTGGAGCTTTCGGGGTTTAGGGCTGCTCCCCCCAAGCCTTATACCGGCATGACGTAAGTGTCAAACGACCCCCGAGCACTCACAAAGTCTCCCCGTATGCCCATACTTTTAGTCTATTGAGTATTGGGTCCAGCTAAGCCCCACACCTCATAAAATCGAACGATCCATCCAAGAACCAGCAAACACAACTAGCCCTACGTCGACAGGATTGGTTTCTCGACTTGATACGTTCATCACACGTGAAGACATGCTCCGGAGTGGTGGCGTCTAAGAAAACTGAAACTTATAATGGTCAGCGTGCTGGAGGAGTTAATCCGACTGCCTTCAAGCTAGAAAGTACGAGGCCAAGAAGGCTTGAGCGACCCTAGGGCCCGAAAATAGCCCTAAGCACCCTTTGTCTCGTTTTGTCCCCTCAGAGGCTGCTGGGATCCGTCGCCGTCCTCCCATCACCACGGCCCGTGCACTTGGGCCTTTTGAGCGCAGACGGGTCCTGGCAGGGGCTTAAACGGTTTGGGGTTTAGGGCTTAGGGCTTAGGGCTTAGGGCTTAGGGTTTAGGGTTTAGGGTTTCGGGTTTAGGGTTTAGGGTTTAGGTTTAGGGTTTAGGGTTTAGGGTTTAGGGTTTAGGGTTTAGGGTTTAGGGTTTAGGACCGTTTAGGATTTAGGATTTAGGGTATGGGGGGTTGTTTGGGGTTTAGGGGTGCAGGAGCTGGGGTTTAGGGTTTTGGGCACAGCACGCTCTCCACCTATGCCCTCGATGAACGCAACCTCCTACTGCAAAGTTAAAGCTCAAAGCGACAAACTTATCCTGACTGTGGACAACCTAGTCTCCCCTAAACCTAAACCCTGCACCCTAAACCCTGAACCCTGAACCCTAAACCTTCATATCCCAAGACAACGTCCAAGCCCCTAAACCTGCTCACCTCAACTAGACGTAGCGACAACACATCGCAATGAATATCCTTTTGGGATTCTGGCTTAAACAGAAATAGAGCCCAGCTCCCAAAGCAAAACCCCATAAACCCTAAACCCTAAGCCCAAAATCCTAGAGTTGTGGGCCCAGTGGCCTCCTCCCACATTGCAGGGGTTTTGGCCGTGATCCGCAAGGAGTGGAACTTCAAGGATCCGTCCTCTCAGGCGCTGTTCGTGGCTGCTTTAGGTTTTAGGGCTTAGGTTTTAGGGCTTAGGGTTCAGGGGTTTGGGGGTTATGGGCCTAATGGGAATTAAAAAGGTTTCAGGACCGGGGAAGTTTCGAGTTTCGAGGGAGTTTCGTGTGTAATTGTAGTGTAGATTGAAGGTTCCAGGGGGTTGGGGGTTTAGGGCTCAGGGGTTTTAGGAGGGTTGGGGTTTAGGGTTTAGGGTTTAGGGTTTAGGGTTTAGGGTTTGGGGTTTGGGGTTTAGGGTTTAGGGTTTAGGGTTTAGGGTTTAGGGTTTAGGGTTTAAGGTTTAGGGTTTAGGGTTTAGGGTTTAGGGTTTAGGGTTTAGGGTTTAGGGTTCAGGGTTTGAAGAGGCCGTGGACTTGCGGCCTCCCCCGTGAAAAGGCCGTTCACCAGCCGATGTCGCGCCAGTGGCTTCAGGCCCTCGAAGGCCTGCAAGGGCGGAGGATACTGGCTACTTGTATCTGGAAGCTTGTGTGCTGGAAGTATATGACTGCGTATGACTGCAGTCAGGAATTCAGTGCCACAATGGTAGTTGCCTACAAGAACTGGTTCTGACCCCAGGCATCCATGGCACCCCCCGTCCTCCGAGACGACCAGCACATGAAAGTGGGACTCATCGCTCTTCTTTCCATGTGACTCATTCACCACCTGGGTGGCTTAGCGACTCGGGTCAAAGAACAAACCAGGGGAACACGCGGCAGAGCCAGCTGTTCTTACAATGAGTTTCGGGGGAGGGGGGGGGGGGGGGGGGGGGGGGCCCTTGGGGTTCGAACCCCACGGAAAGCCCTGAATCGCCAGGATTCCTACACCGCCACACCCGGAACCCTAAACCCTGGATGTTAGGTTCCATTCAAGCCCTCTGCAAGCCTCCATGTGCAAGGGCCGGAGTTCCGACTGCAGCCTCTGTTCGATGTGGTCTTGCCTCGTCATAGGGAGACCAATGTGGTCGTTGAAGATCCCTAGCAAACCCCTATAAACCCTATAAACCCTATAAACCCTATAAACCCTATAAACCCTATAAACCCTACAAACCCTACAAACCCTGAAACCCTATAAACCCTCAACCCAATAAATCCAATCTTGGGGGCTTTCAGGGTTCCCCCAAATGGGCCATGAACTGGCCAGGCACCCCTCACCCAAACGCCCATCTGCCTAACCCCAGGTTTCCTGAAGGGTTTTGGGAAATCTGGGGAAACTGCTTTTGGGGGATCCCTCAATTCTGGTCAACCCCCTTAAGCCCCTGAGCAATCCCACAGAACGACCCTGAACGCCTGAACTTAAACTCTAAATTCCAAGCGGGCGGCACAGGCCCACGGAAAGCTTCGGAGAAGAGCCGCTGCTGCACGAAGAACGCCGCGCTCTTCTGCCTGGAGCTGCGCGCAGAAGGGGCCAGGGCTCAGGAAGGGCAACAATGCCACCTAGAAACCCTATGTGCGGAGTTCATGGCGGACGTGTAGGGTTACTTGGGCTCATAGGTTTACGGCGGAGGTAGCAGAGTTGCAAAGAGTTAGCGCTTATCAGGCTTAGAGTGCGAACCTGACGCTTGGTCAGCTGCACATACACTGCAGCCATGGTGGCAGGGTGCTGAAGCTGTCAGTACCAGGGGCGGACGGCAGTCCCGAAACCCTAAACCCTAAACCCAAAACCCAAAACCCTAAACCCTAAACCCTAAACCCGAGTCAGCTCCAGGAGGTCGTAGGAAGGAGATTGGACCCGACCATGTTGTCCGCGCAGCTACGTGGCCGACGCGAGAGGGCGTGGCTGGGACCGATGTGAGGCGACCAAGCCCTCGAGTGCCTATCGCGCCCTTTGCCTCTCAAGATACAAGCAAACTACTAACAGACAAGCGAAAGAAAGCTAAAGTACGAGGAGGCAGAAGGCATGTGCCCGAAGCACGCCGCGATTGCACCCTCATCGGAGCTGGAAAACTCTGAAATTCGGAACTCGCCCAACAAGTACCCTATCAAGACCTCAAGCCCTAAGCCCTAAGCCTTGTTACAAGCCCTCCAAGCCCCAAACCCTCATTGGCCCCAACTGTTAACTTCCGAACCTCAAGGCTTTTTGCTCGTAAAGCCGAGCGCATGTCGGTCAGGGCTCCCGGCCACGGCCGCGGCCGGGCGAGACTCCTCGTCATGGCCAGACCACCGGCCTCACGCAGGAAGCAGCTTTGGATGTCTAGGTCTGGGTTGGTGGGGCTCGTAAAGGGGGGTATACAAAACTCGGAGGGCTTGCCAGAAAAAGGGCCTTTTGGGGATTTTTTGGGGCATAGGATTGAGGGAAGCGTTCGTCTGTTGCGGCTAGCACAGCTGGCAGTTTTTTTGGGGGGCTTAGGGTCCCAGGGGTTCCAAGCGCCCAGTACAAAGCTCTGCAGTACTTCTCCGAGTGCTTCCCTGGGGTTTAAAGCTTGCGTTCATTCCGAATCCTTGCCCAGAGTGCAACCTGGCCACCACGCGTCGCCACATGGCTGCCGCAGGACTTGGGATGCTCCCTCTCTCTCGCTCTCTCTATCATCTCTATCCCTCTCCCTCTCTTTGCTTACCCATTTACACTACAGACAGCGGCAGGTTGAGTGCTATGTTGACAACTCATGAAAGTTCACGGGCTTGAGACTTTAAAGGAAGCAGACAATCGGGTTATGGGTCCCTCGGGAGACTTTCGCCTTTTGGGTGCGTCTCGCCTTTGAGGCTTTCATGGCCAGGGGCGTGGATCCAGAAATGCGTCCTTTCCTCTTCCACGGGCATGCCACACGAACATTTCTGCGCACCAGTTTTGCCACCGCTATGCCATCTGCGCATCCTGCGGCATCTCCTGACATCACCAAATGGGAATCCCACTATTTGGAGGGTCTGTATAAGGGGCCCTTTACTTTCAAACCGCAAACCCCTAGACTCTAGACACATTGAATTCCAAACTCCTGATTGTGGGCTTCTATGTTAAGGTCTGGCACCTGTCCCCTCCTGCCCCACAGCATCGTGCAAGGCAGCATCGGGTACCGCCAACCCCCCTGGGCTCCTCCGTAAGAAGATCCTCATCCGGGATCACCTGGTGGCTGAAGTAGGGGTTTCGGGTCGAGGGCTTCTGGAGTTTGAGGGTCCTGGGCTCAGGGCTTACAATGTTTGGGAGCTTGCAGCCCCTGAACCCTAACCCCTAAACCCCCACACTACTTAAGGGCTCGCGCCGCGCTGCAGTACTGCTATGACTGCAGTCCCATTGCCTCACCGATGTCCAACCGAAGATTCTTGCCTCAAGGGTTTAGGGTTTATGGGATTTATAGGGTTTTTATAGGGCTTATGGGATTTATAGGGTTTATAGGGTTTATAGGGTTTATAGGGTTTATCGGGTTTGTAGGGTTTATAGGGTTTATAGGGTTTATAGGGTTTATAGGGTTTATAGGGTTTATAGGGTTTATAGGGTTTAGGGTCGCATGCTGCGCTCTTTGAGTGATTGCGGGAGGGTTGAGAATCGAGCTCTGACAGAGAAACCACGTTCAAGGAATTTCAGGTTGGCGGTCAGGGCTCAGAACTGTCTAGGGTTTGGGGCTGCATGAGGCTTCTCATGCGAAGGGCTTCGCAAAAGGACTTCAACTTTCTCGGTCAGACTCAGACTCAACCTCTAGTTGAAGTCTTTCCTAACTTCGGGTCCCCTAGACCCTGTAGAGCCTAAACCCTAAAGCCCTGAAACCCCGCAACCCTCAGCCCTAAAACCCCAATCAACTCCACAGGCCCCGCTAAATCCTAAACCCTAAACCCTACACCCTACACCCTAAACCCTGACCTAAAAGCAACAAGCTCGCGGAAAACAGCTGGGCTCCACTGCCCAGAGCCTCAAGCTCGTATGCCTGAAAGGCACGAATCCATGAGCCCTGAACTATTCAGGGTTGAGGGCTTAGGGTTGTTTAGGGTTTAGTTTAGGGTTTAGTTTAGGGTTTAGGGTTCAGGGTTTTTGGGGGTTTTCTAGGGCTTTATGGGGTGTTATTGGGGCTTTAGGGCTTTAGGGCGTTATGGGGGGCTTTCTTGCAGCTTTACGGGGCTTTGTGGGGCTTCATGGGGCTTTAAGGGCCTTGCAGCGTTCATAGGGATTGGGTTGATAGAGTTCATAGGGTTTAAGAGGATTTCTAGGGTTTGCAGCTGCCAGGCTCGGAGGCGGAGGGGCTGAACCCTCAACCCCTTAACCCTAAACCCCCTAAACCCTAAACCCTAAACCCTAAACCCCCCAAACCCTAAACACTAAATCTCCTAAAACACGATATTCAGTAGATGATTAGATCCGCCTCTACATCCTCACCTTATACGGCCACATCCCAGGCCCGCACCTACAATGCCTTCATGAGGCCCACAATCCGAAACTGACCCTGCCTGGACCCTAAGGTTTAGGGTTAGGGTTTAGGGTTTAGGGTTTAAGGATTAGGGTTTAGGGTTTAGGGTTTAGGGTTTAGGGTTTAAATCTAACAAAGGCCCTGAATGTCAACTCGGCATGCTGAGGGCACCTGTCGCGAGCTCCTCAGCTGGGCCATGGCGCGCGTTGCGGCAGCCGAGAACGTCGCCCGTTCTGCGCTCAGGGAATTAGGGTTTAGGGTTTAGGGTGGGCATGCGCGAAGGATTCCGGGTGTTTGAGGAGTGGGATTTTGGGTCGGACGACAACAAGGGACAAGAGGTTGCTCAAATGTCGGAATGGGACTTAGACTTAGACACGAGCTAGGCAGCCGAGCATGGTTGGTTTGGGTTTCTTACTTGGGTGGATATCGATGATGTGGCCCAATTAAGAGCAGTCAGCGCAAGCGGCAGATGGCAGCCAGCAGCAAGCGAGCTCTTTCGCACTTGCCTTCGCATGCTGACCAGGAGTCGTGCACAATGTCTACGGTGCTCTCCCTCAAGCCGACCGAATCTTTACCATCGGTTCGAAAGGAGTAGGAGAGTCGACTGTACAAAAGCTACACTCCCGTCTTCGCAGGGGTCTGGCATGCTCGGACTCTAAGTGCGACCGCACTCTAGGTGCGACTGTACAGAACACAATGCAATTCTCGGATTTTCACATTTGATAGCCCAAAGTAACAGCGTCACTACAGCAGACTCCTAGACAAGAACGTCGCCTGGGGAGATGCCTTTCACATCGTCCACCTTGTCCGACGACTCCGTCAACCTCCTCTGGCTCAGCTGCATGACACCACGGCACATTCCGACCGGACCCTTCCCCTCAATCTGCCAGTGTGTCCAGCTAGCAATGGAGTGGAAGTTGAAGTAGTACTTCGAGGGGTTGGAGGCAATGTCCTTGAGCCGAGATCCCAACGTGAAGGCAGCGTTCTGCTCTCCATCTACGAAGTTGCCCTGCATGTCAGACATCAAAGCGGCACGGTTGGCATAGTGGGCGCAGGGCGTCTTGTACTTGCTCCCGTCCGCAATGAAGCCAGGGCCGTTCTCGCCGCAGAAGTTGATCACTGGGGGGCCCGAGCCGTTGACGCCGTCCCCGTCAGAGGCCAGGTGGATGTGCGACGCGATGAGCTGTGTCCGACCGCCAAGGACATTCGCAGTGCAATGCATGCCGCTGTGGCTGCAGAGCTTGCAATCCACGTAGGCCGTGGCTTCACTGTCAGGATTGCTGGGGAACGACTGAACCAGCGTGTTGAAGCTGAGCTCACTGAACATGTGGTAGCACTCATCCTCTGCCACGGGCTTGGGCTGCTCCGGCGGTGCTATGGAACCCTTAGGCACGCACTGCGAGTACCAGGAGTTCATCTGCGAGCAGCTGAAGCCAGAAGGGCAGCATGTCGGACCGGCCCAGCCAGTGCCGCCACATTGGACCCATGCAGTGGCGCAGGCGGCACCGGCGTCAGAGATGGGCAGTGCGGCAGCAAGGGTCAACAGCAGCGACCGGAACGCCATGCCTGCAAGAGACCACTCGAGCAAGGATGCTTGTCCTGTGGAGACTATACAATTCCAGAACCCTGAGGACCACCAGCAGCAACATGCATTCACATACAATGCTAGAACTGCTAAGTTTCACGGGTTCTTCTTGACTGCACGTATCAAAGACTGATTTCCTGTGTCGAGATACTGAAAAAAAACATGTTTCCACAATCGTTGTACTCAAATACACCATAACTATAACCAGAAATTTGCGACAAACAGTAGAATGCATAGTGGATGATGTCTGGCCCAAAGAGCAGTCAGCGCAAGCAGCAGATGGCAGCCAGCAGCAAGCGAGCTCTTTCGCACTTGCCTTCGCATGCTGACCAGGAGTCGTGCACAATGTCTACGGTGCTCTCCCTCAAGCCGACCGAATCTTTACCATCGGTTCGAATGGAGTAGGAGAGTCGACTGTACAAAAAGCTACACTCCCGTCTTCGCAGGGGTCTGGCATACTCGGACTCTAAGTGCGACTGCACTCTAGGTGCGACTGTACAGAACACAATGCAATTCTCGGATTTTCACATTTGATAGCCCAAAGTAACAGCGTCACTACAGCAGACTCCTAGACAAGAACGTCGCCTGGGGAGATGCCTTTCACATCGTCCACCTTGTCCGACGACTCCGTCAACCTCCTCTGGCTCAGCTGCATGACACCACGGCACATTCCGACCGGACCCTTCCCCTCAATCTGCCAGTGTGTCCAGCTAGCAATGGAGTGGAAGTTGAAGTAGTACTTCGAGGGGTTGGAGGCAATGTCCTTGAGCCGAGATCCCAACGTGAAGGCAGCGTTCTGCTCTCCATCTACGAAGTTGCCCTGCATGTCAGACATCAAAGCGGCACGGTTGGCATAATGGGCGCAGGGCGTCTTGTACTTGCTCCCGTCCGCAATGAAGCCAGGGCCATTCTCGCCGCAGAAGTTGATCACTGGGGGGCCCGAGCCGTTGACGCCGTCCCCGTCAGAGGCCAGGTGGATGTGCGACGCGATGAGCTGTGTCCGACCGCCAAGGACATTCGCAGTGCAATGCATGCCGCTGTGGCTGCAGAGCTTGCAATCCACGTAGGCCGTGGCTTCACTGTCAGGATTGCTGGGGAACGACTGAACCAGCGTGTTGAAGCTGAGCTCGCTGAACATGTGGTAGCACTCATCCTCTGCCACGGGCTTGGGCTGCTCCGGCGGTGCTATGGAACCCTTAGGCACGCACTGCGAGTACCAGGAGTTCATCTGCGAGCAGCTGAAGCCAGAAGGGCAGCATGTCGGACCGGCCCAGCCAGTGCCGCCACATTGGACCCATGCAGTGGCGCAAGCGGCACCGGCGTCAGAGATGGGCAGTGCGGCAGCAAGGGTCAACAGCAGCGATCGGAACGCCATGCTTGCAAGAGACCACTCGAGTAAGGACGCTTGTCCTGTGGAGACTATACAATGTCAGAACCCTGAGAACCACCGGCAGCAACATGCATTCACACAAAATGCCAGAACTGCAGTGCTCAAGTTTCACGCAGTCTTCTTGACTGCACGTATGAAAAACTTTTGTGGTAAACAATAATACGTGTGTCCGATGATGTCGGGCCCAAAAAAGAGCAGTCAGCGCAAGCGGCAGATGGCAGCCAGCAGCAAGCGAGCTCTTTCGCACTTGCCTTCGCATGCTGACCAGGAGTCGTGCACAATGTCTACGGTGCTCTCCCTCAAGCCGACCGAATCTTTACCATCGGTTCGAATGGAGTAGGAGAGTCGACTGTACAAAAAGCTACACTCCCGTCTTCGCAGGGGTCTGGCATACTCGGACTCTAAGTGCGACTGCACTCTAGGTGCGACTGTACAGAACACAATGCAATTCTCGGATTTTCACATTTGATAGCCGAAAGTAACAGCGTCACTACAGCAGACTCCTAGACAAGAACGTCGCCTGGGGAGATGCCTTTCACATCGTCCACCTTGTCCGACGACTCCGTCAACCTCCTCTGGCTCAGCTGCATGACACCACGGCACATTCCGACCGGACCCTTCCCCTCAATCTGCCAGTGTGTCCAGCTAGCAATGGAGTGGAAGTTGAAGTAGTACTTCGAGGGGTTGGAGGCAATGTCCTTGAGCCGAGATCCCAACGTGAAGGCAGCGTTCTGCTCTCCATCTACGAAGTTGCCCTGCATGTCAGACATCAAAGCGGCACGGTTGGCATAATGGGCGCAGGGCGTCTTGTACTTGCTCCCGTCCGCAATGAAGCCAGGGCCATTCTCGCCGCAGAAGTTGATCACTGGGGGGCCCGAGCCGTTGACGCCGTCCCCGTCAGAGGCCAGGTGGATGTGCGACGCGATGAGCTGTGTCCGACCGCCAAGGACATTCGCAGTGCAATGCATGCCGCTGTGGCTGCAGAGCTTGCAATCCACGTAGGCCGTGGCTTCACTGTCAGGATTGCTGGGGAACGACTGAACCAGCGTGTTGAAGCTGAGCTCACTGAACATGTGGTAGCACTCATCCTCTGCCACGGGCTTGGGCTGCTCCGGCGGTGCTATGGAACCCTTAGGCACGCACTGCGAGTACCAGGAGTTCATCTGCGAGCAGCTGAAGCCAGAAGGGCAGCATGTCGGACCGGCCCAGCCAGTGCCGCCACATTGGACCCATGCAGTGGCGCAAGCGGCACCGGCGTCAGAGATGGGCAGTGCGGCAGCGGTCAACAGCAGCGATCGGAACGCCATGCTTGCAAGAGACCACTCGAGCAAGGATGCTTGTCCTGTGGAGACTATACAATTTCAGAACCCTGAGAACGGCAGCAACATGCATTCACACAAAATGCCAGAACTGCAGTGCTCAAGTTTCACGCAGTCTTCTTGACTGCACGTATGAAAGACTTTTGTGGTAAACCGATGATGTCTGGCCCAAAGAGCAGGCAGCGCAAGCAGCAGATGGCAGCCAGCAGCAAGCGAGCTCTTTCGCACTTGCCTTCGCATGCTGACCAGGAGTCGTGCACAATGTCTACGGTGCTCTCCCTCAAGCCGACCGAATCTTTACCATCGGTTCGAAAGGAGTAGGAGAGTCGACTGTACAAAAGCTACACTCCCGTCTTCGCAGGGGTCTGGCATGCTCGGACTCTAAGTGCGACCGCACTCTAGGTGCGACTGTACAGAACACAATGCAATTCTCGGATTTTCACATTTGATAGCCCAAAGTAACAGCGTCACTACAGCAGACTCCTAGACAAGAACGTTGCCTGGGGAGATGCCTTTCACATCGTCCACCTTGTCCGACGACTCCGTCAACCTCCTCTGGCTCAGCTGCATGACACCACGGCACATTCCGACCGGACCCTTCCCCTCAATCTGCCAGTGTGTCCAGCTAGCAATGGAGTGGAAGTTGAAGTAGTACTTCGAGGGGTTGGAGGCAATGTCCTTGAGCCGAGATCCCAACGTGAAGGCAGCGTTCTGCTCTCCATCTACGAAGTTGCCCTGCATGTCAGACATCAAAGCGGCACGGTTGGCATAATGGGCGCAGGGCGTCTTGTACTTGCTCCCGTCCGCAATGAAGCCAGGGCCGTTCTCGCCGCAGAAGTTGATCACTGGGGGGCCCGAGCCGTTGACGCCGTCCCCGTCAGAGGCCAGGTGGATGTGCGACGCGATGAGCTGTGTCCGACCGCCAAGGACATTCGCAGTGCAATGCATGCCGCTGTGGCTGCAGAGCTTGCAATCCACGTAGGCCGTGGCTTCACTGTCAGGATTGCTGGGGAACGACTGAACCAGCGTGTTGAAGCTGAGCTCACTAAACATGTGGTAGCACTCATCCTCTGCCACGGGCTTGGGCTGCGCTGGCGGTGCTATGGAACCCTTAGGCACGCACTGCGAGTACCAGGAGTTCATCTGCGAGCAGCTGAAGCCAGAAGGGCAGCATGTCGGACCGGCCCAGCCAGTGCCGCCACATTGGACCCATGCAGTGGCGCAGGCGGCACCGGCGTCAGAGATGGGCAGTGCGGCAGCAAGGGTCAACAGCAGCGACCGGAACGCCATGCTTGCAAGAGACCACTCGAGCAAGGACGCTTGTCCTGTGGAGACTATACAACTTCAGAGCCCTGAGAACCACCGGCAGCAACATGCATTCACACACAATGCCAGAACTGCAGTGCTCAAGTTTCACGCAGTCTTCTTGACTGCACGTATGAAAAACTTTTGTGGTAAACAATAATACGTGTGTCCGATGATGTCGGGCCCAAAAAAGAGCAGTCAGCGCAAGGCGCAAGCAGCAGATGGCAGCCAGCAGCAAGCGAGCTCTTTCGCACTTGCCTTCGCATGCTGACCAGGAGTCGTGCACAATGTCTACGCTGCTCTCCCTCAAGCCGACCGAATCTTTACCATCGGTTCGAATGGAGTAGGAGAGTCGACTGTACAAAAGCTACACTCCCGTCTTCGCAGGGGTCTGGCATACTCGGACTCTAAGTGCGACCGCACTCTAGGTGCGACTGTACAGAACACAATGCAATTCTCGGATTTTCACATTTGATAGCCCAAAGTAACAGCGTCACTACAGCAGACTCCTAGACAAGAACGTTGCCTGGGGAGATGCCTTTCACATCGTCCACCTTGTCCGACGACTCCGTCAACCTCCTCTGGCTCAGCTGCATGACACCACGGCACATTCCGACCGGACCCTTCCCCTCAATCTGCCAGTGTGTCCAGCTAGCAATGGAGTGGAAGTTGAAGTAGTACTTCGAGGGGTTGGAGGCAATGTCCTTGAGCCGAGATCCCAACGTGAAGGCAGCGTTCTGCTCTCCATCTACGAAGTTGCCCTGCATGTCAGACATCAAAGCGGCACGGTTGGCATAATGGGCGCAGGGCGTCTTGTACTTGCTCCCGTCCGCAATGAAGCCAGGGCCGTTCTCGCCGCAGAAGTTGATCACTGGGGGGCCCGAGCCGTTGACGCCGTCCCCGTCAGAGGCCAGGTGGATGTGCGACGCGATGAGCTGTGTCCGACCGCCAAGGACATTCGCAGT